CTGATGGAAGTCCAAAATATTTGGAGAACAGCAACCTGGGGAAGGCTGACTATCCTTTACTCGAGCCTTAATCTGGTTCTGGGAATGGGACAGGCAGATTTACTTAAATAAACAGCAATGAAATTGCTAATTGTAGGATTGCTTTCTAGATTTGACTGGTTTCTGGTCAAATTCTCACCATTTCTGTCTTTTAAATTTGCATGTGTGAGGACTGGAAAATTGTGGGGTTTTTTTCTATCTTAAAAAAAGAGAAAACAATCAACTTGGCACACTGAACTGGGTACCAGCAGATTTCATGGACATATAGAATATTTCCTTGTGTTAGAATTGTGCTACAATTCGATTTGTACACCCTTTGATTTTTACCTTTTTATTTGCACTTTCTATTCATACTTCCCCACTGTAACACCCACTTCCTTTGAGAGGGAGTCAGGACTTCTAGCAGCATTTTCCCTCACAATTGAAGAGAGTAGGAAATCATCAGCCCACAGATCAGATGCTCTGGCATCTGTTTCATGTTTCATTCCTAAACAGTTTAAGATAATTACAGGCCCACATTTAGACTACTTGAATCAACAAGCTGGCACAGAGGAAACAAAAGCTTTCTCTAGCAGTCCTTCTATATTGCACCACAGGGTATTGGCTGTGGATAAGTGATCTCATCCCTCAGGCTGACTGTGGATGCATCACAAGTGCATGAAAGCATGAGCAAAGAAAGCAGATACTACACTAGAATTTAAAAAAAAGGATTTAAAGGAACAAACCTCCTTATATACTTCTAACTGTATCTCCAGTCCAAAGTCTGACATCCATTTCAAACCAAGCAGATTTGAACTAGCATTTTGCTTGTGTTTCTTAATTAACAACGAAGTCAACATTTCCAAGCTTTCATTTAATTGTTGTTATTTTTATTATTACTATTATTTATTATTATGTTTTTCACAAACAGGTGTCATTATTACCTTGTAATGTCACTGTTTTATAAGTACAATTTAAACTTAGAGAAGAAAATGTTAGTACCCAACACTCAGGGTCCTTCCAGATGGAAGACTCCTAGCCCTAAAAATCTGGAGCCATTGTGCAGCTGTTCTATCTTTTTCTCCTAAGTGGATTTTCTGTATTAAAGAGAAAGACAGAAGCAGCAGTGAGAAACACAGGAGAAGCACAAGCAGAAGTTAATGGATTCCCTTTAAATGACTGTGAATATAACAGGATGAAGGCAGCATAAAAGCCTCACTTGGAAGACTTTTGGACTGTGTACTATCATTATTTTCTTCTTGGCTCCTTCCTTCTTCAGAAGCAAGGTAGGAGCTCAGGAAACTGCCCTGTACTGAATCATACCACTGGTCCACCTAGCTAAGTAGTGTCTATTCTGACTGACAGCAGTGGCTCTAAGGCATTATTGGCTACCCAACCCTTTTAACTCTAATTGCTAGAAAATGGATGTGGGACCTTTGGAATGCTAAACATTGTCTCTTTTCTTGAGCTAGACTGAGAGCAGAGGCCTGTGCAGAGAACATTTCAAAGGGCAATCAGTATTTGGGTGTGAGAAAGAGCCTTTCTACATGATGCTGTTAGTCTTTTGGATCTACTTTCAGAAGATCTACAGAAATTTCAGTAGATCTACAGAAATGAGATCCAAGGGCTACACAGAAAAAATTCCTTACCAGCTTTTCTGTTAAATAACCTGAAGGTGACACTGTCCTATAGTGGGATAATGCAATTACAAGTAGGAAAATAGATTTTATGTCACTTTCAGATATAATGCTCAATTTCCCCTGCTTTAAAGGGTTATAAAAGGTGATTAAAACACACACACACAGAAGTGAAACTGGAGTGTCATGGCATTGTCTAAAGAACCTAAAAAGGAATAACGAGTGTCCAATAAACATCAAGTGTAGAAAACCTCTGTCTATGGAGAAGAATCTAGATTGTGCCTGTTGGCTCTATCCCTAATATGTACACAATGATAACCTCTTATTTTCTTCATTGATCTTACCCAGATAAAAGTCACACATGCCAAAGCTCTCTGCAGTCAAGTACTTCCTCCTAACAATACACAGAAACTGAATCTGAGCACAGCCACTTAAACTCATCTCCCTTCATCCCCTTCCCTATTGCCAAGTTCATGTTTAGAGTGGCAGGGTCAAGCAGAGCATCTTTCAGCCCATGGGAGATGTCCATTCCCCCATGGATGGAAGAGGCCCTCTGCCTCAGAAGTTCACAATCATCCTAAATGCAGCAAGGATGAAGGGAATAGGGACAGGGTAGATTGGAGCCGTATGCTCGGCAAAATGGCATGCACACCACTTAATAAACAAATAATGCAAGGTGCAGACTGCTGTGGAGCCGCGGCACAATAAACTAGGATCAGACTTGGTTCAAAGGTTTTCTGATGCTTATCACTCTAGAATCAATTTTAATCAAAGCTTGGAACATGGCTTGTTGTGACAGATAGGAAGATAGAAATAGGAAATAGAAGATAAGACAGGAAATAGGAAATCAGAGCGAGAAAAAGAGAGTGGAAAAGACCTGGAACTAGACAGGCTAGGCTAGGCTAGGCTATTCTTTGTGGTGGTAGTGGAAATTTTTCAGAAGAACCCTTATGGAAATTTTTAAACCTGTACTTCAGTTGTCTGTCACAACAGTGTGCACTCCACAATTTCCTTCATAACAGCCCATTTACAAAATGATTTCTGACTAGGGCTATTTTCAGTCATGGTCATAATTGCATGTACAAAAATGACTGGAAATAACCCTAGGCAGAAATCAGCCCTTTCCCTCTCTTTTCTGCATCAATCTATGAGTATTAAAACATACAACATTTTCATTATTTTAATGTATATCTTCACAAAACATGCATCTCTGTAGACATTCTGTCTTAAAGTATGCCTTTAAAGCTATAGTATGCATTTTACATGCATTTTGGTGCATTTTAAATGTGAGAATTCAGAGAAATGCAAAGGCCAACAGATAACTATATTCTGAACCATGTAGTACCCCCGGAAATGTGATTCAGACTGTCCCACTTAAAAATGTGGACTAAACAAAATCCTTGAACATCCTTATTTATGACTAGTCAGAAATAATATCAGTTTTATAAATTATTAAATTACAAGGCACATTTATACCCTATTCCTGAACAAGTGTTTCAAAATAAATTAAAAACTTTCAAGTAGAGAATAGTTTTTCAGATTATAATTTGTTCATTTGTTCGTTTTATGATGTCCATATATGTTCACTGGAAATTCATCAAGTTTTCAGCAATTCTTGATCAGAGATCCAAGCAATTTAAAAAAAAAAAAAAGAAAGTGTGGGTTTAGGAATTCTGAGCCTTCATTTAAAATTCATTTAAATGAAATTTAAATAAAATTTATTTAAATGAAATTTAAACCTTTCATTTAAAAGGTTCCAAAACTAACCTTTGGAAAAATGTAAATTAGCACAGTGAGCAAAGTAGTCTTAAAATTTCATTATGAGCAAAATGAGTCCTGCTAGGAAGGGATAACTGACCAGATAACTAGCAAGGGAAGAGGAAAAAATGGCACGAGTGGTACAATATTGGAATCACTTAAATGCCAAGATAAAATTTAAAAAGATGCAAGAATAATGTGAAGAATAACATTGACCATTCATGGACATGGGAAACACAGTTAAGTTGTTTACCAAACAGAATGGAACAGAGCATGTAATATTTCTGTGGGGCTAAACTAGGAAAGAAGCAGTAAAAGCACAGCAGCTATGTCCTGTGCCGACTGTATGTTTTCAGCTTTAACGAATCACAAAAGACAAGGAGTTGCTACCATTCCATGCTTCTTTATGTGTTCTTCCACATATTTGATATATTTACCCATCCCTTCTCTCTGGATCATTGTCAATGTACCAAGCTGTATGCTGCCCATGTTTTCCTTATAACCACCATGTTATAGGCAAAGCTTAAAGAAAGGTACTGGCTCATGTTCAGGCAGCTTTAGGGATGAATGAATCTCTGTTTAGCTTTCTCTTACATTCAATTTTTTAAAACTGCAAGTTCTTTCCAACTTCTATATTAAATTAACAAATTTGTTTTTATCAAGTTCACGTCAAAGAACAAATTGTGCAAAGATGGGGCTTGTTTATCTAAAAATTAATTGTATTGTGTTGTCTGCACCCAGCCAAGATAACACAAACCATGGTGAATAACGCACAATTCATAACACAACAGCAAAGTATGGTTTCTCTTCCTGGGTTGCCAGTGGTTAACAAGTCAGGGTCTGTTAGTGTAGCTGGATTCAGACATAACCCACATTTCAACAATGATCCACTGTTCAATGGCATGTCATATTCCACTCGTACTCAACCCATGAACATGGGTAATCATATGTCTATATGATTGAGTCTAGTCACCAAATCCTTTCCTTCTCTTTCTTACATGCAATACACATTTTTATTCTTAACGAGAGAGCCAGGAAACAGTTTTAAATGCTTTATCTATGCCATTTGCTGGACACAAAGAAGCGGGAATGCAACTTATTCTGTGGCGACTAGATGCATGACTACTTAGTTTCCAGGCCCAAGTTCAGGCACTGATTCTTTTCCTTAAAGCAGAGATAGGGAACCATGAGAAGTTCAGAAATTAAGATGAGGAGCCGGGCTTGACTGCCATTGCCTTGAGGAGCAAGGTTCAAAGCTGTTCTGTCCTTGCAGACCTACCACTTCTGGAAGGCTTAAGGCTATGGAGTGAGTGTTGTGGTCCTGCGGAACAGCCTTCCCCACTGGCACCCACCCCAGGGTGTGATGGAGTTCAACTTCCAGGATCTCCAGCAAATGCTAGTTGGGATGTTGGAGACTCTATTTAGCACCTTTGGAGAGCACCAGGCTGAGGAAGGCTACTGTCATCTGTCAGCCCTGATTATTGACTTTTATTCTTGCAGGTGACATTTCCATGCTGCTGAAAGATGCTCGGAGAGGCAATGTACAGAAACTGTTAAATAATTTGAGAAGTAATAACAAATTCTTACGATCCAAGAGCTTCCATAAAAATGAATGTTTTTCTGATGTTGCTGGTTTGTTTCTTCCAGGAACTACCCTCCTCTTCCTCCGCTGCCTCCTCCTCCTCCTCCTCCTCCTGATTGTGACCCATCTTCTCCAGAGCTGTAGCTGAAAATTCTGACAGGGTATGGTAAAAGAAAAGGGGAGAAAAAGCATTTTGCTTTGATAGTTAGAACAGGCATTTACTAATGCTAACCCATTAAAACATTATCATCTTTCTTATAGGCAGATTTCTAGCATACTTCAGTAGGTTCTCAGATACTTTATAGGTAGCTTCTGAAATTTGATCCCCTACTTATGAACTATGTGCTGTGGCTTTACATAAGATTGGAGATGGTTCAAAATAACTTTTCTTTTTTATTATTATTATTTTGTATTGTATTTACACCCTGCCTTCTTCCCTTAAAGAATGAGAGGGGGCTTAATTCTCATTCCCTTTCCCATTTAGCTTCACAAGAATCATGTGAAGTAGGCAAGGCTGAGGGCCTGAAGTCACCTGGGGAGCTTCTTGGGCAAGTGAGGACTAGAATCCAGATTTCTCAGGTACCAGTCAAACACATTGACCACTATGCTACACTGGCACAAGGGTTCCTTCTCCACTTCATCTTATATAGAGGTGAAGGAACATAACCTCCAGATGTTATCAGACCACAAATCTTATCATGTCGGCTGGGGCTGAATCATGGTGGATTCATCCAACAACACTGGGATGGCCACAGGAACCTCAGCAGACTCAGAGGCTGTGAATCAACTCCATTCTACTACATGACAACTCTGCGACAATTAGAGTCAGTGTGGTCCTCTTCCTATCACTGTCACTGACGAAGAAAAATATTTTTCCTTTGTAAGTTATCTTACTTTACAACTGCAAAACGTGCTGATATTTTGGATTAATCCTCCTTTCTTCTTGAGGAAAGGACTACTTTTTATTGCTGGCTTCCCATGCCCAATTTGATGTTAGATTTTTCTGACTTGACCCTTTCTGTGCTTGTCCTTCATACATAAAAGTAGACCAGTAGTCCTGAAACTTTCTGGACCCAGGAACCAGCTTTAAATACTCTCTTGCAAATAGTATCTAATTTTTGGCATGGTTGAGTTCCCCTCTTCTGCTTTTATTATTTGCAGAGTTGAGAGACATTGCAAACTGGCTCTTAGATTAGGTAGCAGTCTGGACAGAACCCAAAAGCAATCAGGATTAGAGGGCCAACCAGAAGACAGGGTCAGGGAAGAAGTCATGTGTCATGAAGTAGTAAGACCAGAAATGCAAGGCATATTAGAGCTTAAGGACACGTAGGCTCAACATGAAAAGGAAAATTTGTGTACTCCCTCTTGCTCAGTGGAGCCTGTGGTTATCCCAGTTTGGTGGACTGAGGCCAGGCCTTGAAAATTGTTTCCTAAGACACTACAGTGACAATGTTTGCCACATGCGATAATGCTCAGTATTCCTGAAAAGTGGGAAGTCACATTCTAAGAAACACAGCAGGGGTTTTAAGGTGGCTGTGAATGCTAAGTGTGAAGAGACAAGTCCGTTAAGCTGAGTGCCTGCAAGTCTCATTGAAAATCTAAGCCATGCCATAAATTCTTCAGCAGAAAAAATACGTCTTGGCACTTAAAAAGCCTTTCCTTAAAGATTTGTTTCGCTATACCTCTGTTAGAGGTACTTAGCATATCCTAACTGCATGGTGACAGTGCAGGTAGGGTGATTAAAGAACTTCAGAAATGTCCCTTTGAGGACATCCAGTGGGCCTAGTCTAAGGGACAATCAAGCACCTAGAGCAAAACAGGTTGCTCCCTTCCCCGATCCATTAATTGTTTGAGGCTTTCAAGACAGGATCCTGCAGTTATGATGTGTGATGCAACTGCTGTGCTAGCTGTATTATTCCCCATGACAGTACGTTAAATTGATACTACAAAAGATATTAAACCTATTATTTGTACGCATAGCACAGGAATCCTCACAACTGCCATAGTAAATCAATTCTGGAAAACCACAGAGAAATTTTTGACTCCATTTACTTTCATTCTTGTCAAACTGCACCATAATAATTTGGTAAGTTATTCCTAGTAAGATGGCTTTCTGCATTCTCATATTATATGCAAAGCTTGGGAATATTAGATACTAACAGAATCATTTAGATAGTGATGGCTGTAGTTTATACTTGCTTATAAGAGCTGTAGGATCTCATTGTGGCTATGCTAATCTAATTTAATAATCTGCCACTAGAATTTAGAACAAACACACATAAAACTGGATAGCTTCTATAGTGGCAATTTGGAAAGAATTAATGCTCCCAGAAAAGAATTGGCAGAATCCAAACTTGACTGAGTTAACATTTCCATCAGAACAGGAATTAATTAAAAATCCTCTCCATAAATGCTCTCAAATTAGTTTTCCTGGGGTGAAAATGTATTATGGGTCTAATTGATCCAAATGGCTCAGGATGCATCATGACATTAGGACTATCAGAAAAGCAGATAAACAAAAGTGTTGCTTATATTGGGTTGTGCTGACATGAAGCTGAAGGTGGCAGTCACAGGGGTGAGAGTACATTCAATGCTAGAAAGACATTCATCTTTGCAGGAATGCGCAACAGGATTTGAATAACTAGAAATTAAGGGATCAAGCCCATGTGGTCCCCAATAAACTAACAACCAGCTTCTATGAATGCTTGTTCACAGGTCTCCTGGGGCTCACTCCCATGTACCTATTCATAGGATTGGAACCTTAAGGTCCCAGTGGGTTCAAATACTCAGTACAAAAGAAGGGCTGTACAGCTTGCTCTCAGCATGGTTGGGTTAACACAGGCACTCAGAACAAACTGCTTGGAGTGCTGCCATTCTAGTGGTAGCCAGCCAGTGTACAGTAAAACATCAAATGGATTAATAAATGAATAGCCCATTTGGAATGAGTGGCAGGGAAGAAGGTTGCGCTCCTTTAGCAACTGCATGTGCCTCCTGAGAATGCAGTCATTTTGAGAAAAAAATGGCTTTAGGGCAGCTCTTCCCAACCTGCTGCCCTCCAGGTATATTAAACTGCCACTCTTATCATGCTCCTCCATCCATCCTGCTGTCTAAAGATAATGGGAGCATATCTAGACTTCCCCAGGTTGAGGAAGACCACTTTAGAGCATCCTGCCCTCATCATTTCCAATGATCTTCCCATCCTGTCCCGGCTGCTTGAGAGACAATGATGAGAGATGGTGGGAATTGCAGCCATCAACAACATCCTGAGAGCCACATGTTGCCAATTCCTGGCATAAGCTGGGGTACCCTCATGGATGGGTAGGAAACAGAACCTGCATCTTCGCATTCTTACTCCAGCAATTTACCTACACTGACTGCAATGGCTCAAACCAGCCTTTAAATACAAACAGCCCCTTATACTGGGAAATTTTACTGTTGCTTAACCATAATTTGTCTGTTTAAAAAGAGATTCCTATCAGCAATATTAAGGGATATTAAAAATTGGAAACACTCCTGTTGGTTCAAAGACACTGAAAACAGAGTGGGAAAGAATGCTTATTGCCCCTAAGGTTCACACATGCTCCATTTCTCAATTTTTAAGAGAAATGAAAGCCTTTAAGCACATGATTGAATTTGCCAGTTACCAGATAGAATCTTATGCAAAAAAGGTACATCATAAGCAGACAGAAATCAGTACAGTTTCCAAAAATATATATTTTGGAAATATACCAAAATATACCAATACACACGCACATGAAGGCCAAATGATCACTTCTTTTGACAGGCAGTTAAGATTTTCAGTTCCCACTGAAGCTTCATTTGCCACCTGTAATGAACAGGGTTACATGATTTTCTGGTGCCCCAGCATCAGGCTGTAAAGGTTAATTTAAGTGTAGCGAAGAAGAAATTGACTCAGCTGCTGAAGAATGACTACTTCAGTCTGCCAGCTTCTTAAAGGCCAAAATGTGCATTGGTCTTCCTCTGCATTCAAGTGTGTATTCCCCCTCTGTGAACTGTTGAGTCTTAGTAAATTCTGTTTTGCCTTACTTGTGATATATATTTTTGTGTGGGTGGGTGAACACATTTTAGCAAAAGTACAAAATTCCTAATGGAAAGCATTTATTGTTAATAATTGCTGGTATGCAATTCTAATCAACATCATCCTTCATCTATGCAATCTTGTGCCCAAGAAACATCACAAAATTCAACACTGTTCCCTGTGGCTGAGTTACACATTCACAGCAAAGTTTGTTGCCATTGATTCCCACCCTACCCCACTAGTTAATCCAGAGATCTTGGACTTGGATATCAAGGGCAAAGCCTTACTCAGAAGGAAATCCTACTCATTCTGAAAGTGGCTTCACTTCAAAGGAACTAGTATACCCTTTTTCTCAGGGATGCAGAATCGAGGTCAGAGGACCACATTCAGTTTTCTGGGTTTCCCAGATGCCTACCCCGCTTTCCCACCAACCTCAATCTTTGGTGGTTTCACAAGTTCTCTAGGGTTTCCCCTCCATTCTAAAAGTTGAGTGTCTTCCCAAAAGCTCAGTGACTAGTAGAAGAGCTTAAGTTGCCATTGTTGGTATTTCTCCAATCCTGTTGCCTTTTCGCCTCACCTATCACTAGAATGTGGTTCTGGAGTTGTTCTTTAAAATGAAATTTTGTTCTTGTGCTAAAAGAGGCTCAACACTCCTACTTCACCTCCTCAAACTGACTCTTTCTGTGCTTGAGCATCACCACACTGTTTGGGGTGCAGTACAGTAGCCAGCCCTTTCACTTTAATGCAAATCCATTCTGTGTATGGAATTCACTCTCCAAAGAGGTCCGCCTGGCACCGTCGTTACTGGTTTTTCGGCGCCAGGTAAAGACCTTTTTATTTAAACATCATTTTAATTGTTAAAACATATGATCTGGCCAGGGCAACTTCTTCTTCCTTCTCTTTTCTCCTCCTATATTTATTTACTTATTTTATACTGTTAATTTTATATTATTATGTATGTATCTCAGTGTATTTTTTGTATTTTTGTATTTAGTGGTAATTTATTATGTTCTATTGTATTTCAATGTATTTTATTGTGTTGTAAGCCGCCCCAAGGCTTCGGCAAGGGGCGGCATAGAAATGTTATAATAATAATAA